GTGTGGGCCGTTGACTCCGTTTGTTGTGTTCGTGGCGTTGCAGTTTGTGATCAGTTGGGGGAAGGGTTTACTCTAGTTTTATGTATTTATTTTGTTTGTGTTGTTTTGGGTGGTGTTCGGTTCTGTTAGATTCTTCTTGCTAGGAGTGCGATTCTTCTGTTTAGGAGCGTGATTCTTCTTATTAGAAGTTTGATTCTTCTCTGTAGAAGTTTGATTTTCTCCTTGTGAGAATATATGTTTAGTTACATGTGGTAGTGGGTGCGTTAGTGAGACTATTTCTAGAATACACTTATGTGTGTAGTCCTCTAGCTAGATTCAGCTCGATGGCCGTTTGACTTATTCTAGCTGATGTCTAGTTATAATTATTTGTTTTTATTCTATAAAATTTGTCGTTTAAAAAAAAAATCAATAGACGTCCATATATATAAATGTATACATATTGACCCCACTGTAAAAATCCAATAATTGTGTGCATGAATGCAGTCACCGACAAGCACCGAACCCTAATAATTTTTACCGGCTATATTTTTTTTACAATTTACTTTATGCGGATAAAAAAAAAAAAATGCGGTCAACAGTAAAAAGGTTTAGTTCAATTCATCTGGAAAATGATGGTCCCTGAATTTGTTAAAAAAATAATAAGTAAGTAGCATTTTGACAGCTTTTTTTGGGCTGTCAAAAGTAATATTTACTGCGAGTTCATAAAATTAGGAGAATACGAAAAAATATTTTGTGGAATTATTTGCTGCTTTACAAGTGCAATCAAAATCATATTTTGGGTTTTATTCAGTGTGGTGATGATTATCACATTTTTCAATTTCTCATATTTATGAATCCTATTTTATATTTTATGATTCGTGTAATTCAGTATTAATTCACTTCCCATATTTTTTTTAATCATCTCAATTCAAATTATTTTAATGTGTAATCAAACCGCTAATAATTTCACTCACTATGGTGTTAATGCCACCTTTTAATTTTGTTCACCTATCATAGATGTGTATATTTGATCACATTCTCTATAAAGATGGATAATTAATCAAAATATATAGAGAGAATGGATCGTTTGAGAATAATAGATAGTGAAACAAATAAAAATAATTACGAACCATTGGATAAGCTATATTAATAGACACGATGAAGTCAAAATTGCGTTACAACGATCAAATAGCAAAACTGTAATTATATTATTATATCATGGGCAAATAAATATATAGGAAGACAATTGTGTAATTTTCCCAAACAATCAACTCAATAGGCCCCACATCCATAAATAATTACCCAAGTTCATCTCTCCTCTCTCTCAGTTTCTATCTATCCGCATGTTCCCTCTATCTTCACTCTTTTTTCTTACTTTCTATCCATCTCTCCACAATCTCCCCGCTGACAGCCCACAGCACAGTCGCACTCTCTCTCACACACTAACACATACACCCACCTTGCGCGCACACGCACACACACATGAAACTGAACACACACGCTTCGACCAGAGGTAGCGGCCGACGGAGGCGAGGGAAGGCGACGGCGGATGGAACCGAAGCTGTGATGCAGTGGCGCGACGTATGGGGACGAAGATACGTGCTTGGGAACGGAGACGAGGTGTCGAGCAAACTGACAAAGACAGACGTCAAGGTGGCAGACGGAGGCTAGGCCACACGGCGGCGGACGAAGACGAGTAATCGTGCCGGCTGACAGTGACGATGCGATGAGACGGCAGATAGTGGCAACGTGACGGCGGCTGCATGTTGTGTATGAATCGAGGTCGGCGGTCAATGACGGATCTAGAAATTTCATTCAGGGGGCTAGATTTTAAATATTAAATAACGAATTTTTAGTTTAAATCGAAACACCCGTTTCATATAAAAATGTATTTATTATAATTATAAATATTTATACATATACCACCATGTTTTAAAAAACGTAGAAACCGTATCACCCTCAAACTTAAAAGAAAAAAAAAAAGAGAGATTTCATTGTATTTATATTTAAAATTAACATCGAAAAAAATAAGGGTTTGATTGTTTATGGATTAATTTACTCACTTTTATTTCAACTCAAAATTTAACTCAACTTTAACTCAACCCCACTATCTTTAATATTATTCATATAATTAAATAATACAAACCAATCATTCTTACACATCACATCAACTTTAATTCACTATTCATCCACTTACATATTTTTAACTACCTATCATTTCCAATCATTTCCAATCATTTATCTCTTACTTTTACATCAAATCAATTTTAAACATTTTATTTTAAATATTATTTTAATATATTCTTAAACTTTTACTAACAACTAGCTATACTACTTTTTCAAATTTAACTATGGTTAACCAAAATAACTCATTTTAAACAAATTATTTCATAAACAATTATGCCCTAAATTTTTGGGTTGAAGATTTGATTTAAATTGAATTTTTACACAACATTCCATAGCTTTTTGTTTATGAAAGCTTATCAAATAAATATTTTTTTAAGAAAAAAATAAATAAAATTAAGAATATGCGATTATACGAAAAACAAAAGAGAGTAAAAAATCAACATAAAAAATGTAACAATCTAATCAATAAATACTCAGTTTTATAAATCACTAAATTGATTAACAATTAAGAGACCAAATAAATAAATCATTATAAATATTTTCAAAAGCTTATCTAAAAATTTAAAATATAAGGATTGTTTTTATATTTTTCAATTAATAAATAATGTTATTAATTTAAATAAAACTAGCATATGAAATAAGTGTTAATTAGTACTATATTGTAAATATTTTTTACATTTCTATATATACTTTATACTATTTTCTTAATTTATATATATATATATATTGATTTTTAATAAGTTTAATTATCAATATATTGTAAATATTTAATATATTTTATACATATTATATATATATATATTGATTTTTTTTTTAAATGAGTGGGGGCCAGGGACCCCCCCTGAGCCCCATGTAGCTCCGTCCTGCCGGCGGTGCGGTGAACGAAAGGGATGGCCGGAAAAAAAAAGTACATGACTGAGGAGAGGAGTTCATCATTCCTTCATATTTTTTAAAATGGAGTTTGGGGTGTTTTTTTTTCTGAAAATTAGATAAATTATAGGGACCAATTTGTAATTTTAAAAAAAATGAATTATAAACTAATATAATTGCTGATTAATTATAAACTTACAAAAAATTCTATTAAATATAGAATATTGTTAAATAATTTTAACAATATATGTATGGTTATTCAATTTAAATTTTCATAAATTGTATTATTAGTATTTTATATTTTTTTTAATTGAATAGAACATTCCTAATCATTTTCCATTGATAGCAAAACATTCAAATTATTTTCTTTTTTCCCTTACAATCGTATATATTTTTGTTTACTTTATAAAAATTTGTCACGTTCCTAATCAATGGTTGCATACTATAGATATATTTTTTTTTTTACTTTTTAAAAACTCTATAATGGCATGATTGGTATAATGAAATGTAATTTGATAGGAATTGGATGTGTTGAAGAACAAAATGAATATGAAAAAGGAAAAAAAAAAATGTTTTTCCATTGATGTGTTTGGTATGCAAAAGGAATAAAACCTTAATGAAATGACATTCTCATTCTATATTATCATTTATCACTATTTTATAGAAAAAAAAATAAATATTTATATTAATGTTATTTTTTAATTATGATAATATTTCTTAAAAAATATATTATATTTTAATAAATATATTTTAGTATTGTACACTCATATATTTTATAAAATAAATTAGTAATTTGTGTATACATATATATTAACTAGTACAAATATATCATTACATAGACCCCTAAAAGCATGGCGAATATAATTCTTTATATTATAGTTCAATTTATGAATAAATATATAATAGATATGATGTATAAAAATAAAATAGTATCTTTTTACATTATTTATAAATGCATTTTTTCAGTTTTATTTTTATATAAGATGGCTTGACATGTGCGTACAAGGCCCCGGTAAGAAGGGTAGAAACATTAGAATTAAGAATGCAAGTTAAAAGGGAGAGGGTAAACTTAAAAAATTTTGGATGGAAAATGATAGCACTCCGACACTCCGACCCGGTTCTCCTTCGATCCTCCACCGCGTGAGCTCCCTAAGACCTGCAAAGACACCTCTCGGCGGTAAACCTCGGACGCTCAAGTCAGTAAAGGGTAGAGGAAAACTCTATGTAAGTGTGAGTAGTATTAGGGTTTCTAGAGTGTGATTAACCTTACATCCTCTTCCAACTTACCTATTTATATGTAATTGCTAGTTTTTTCCCCACGCTTCGCTTTCTGTCCATTAGATCACTTGTCTTCTCCTGATCCTGACGCTCCACGTGTCCTTTATACACTACTACTCATAATTGCCTTATCTGCTCGGTCATCTTCTCGGTTCATTAAGACCAACTATCTGCTTGGTCATCTGCTCGGTCCACTAAGACCAACTATCAGCTCGATCATCTGTTCGGTCTATTAAGACCATCTGCTCGGTCATCTGCTCAGTCTATCAAGATCAACTATCTGCTCAGTCCTCTGCTCGGTCTATTAAGACCGTCTGCTCGGTCATCTGCTCGATCTATCAAGAATCAAGATCAACTATCTGCTCGGTCATCGATGTAAGTTGGGTTATGTTTTACCGAACAACCCTCATGTGCTATATCGTTTGGTAACTGTACTAATCTAGTCGTGAACCGGGCTATATATGTTCAACTGGGTTACCGAGCCGTTCTTATGTGCTACATCAGATAAAATAAAAAATAATTTAATATATTTAACATTGAATGATGATATGTGTTTTGATTGAACACGATGGCAACATGTGACTTATATCCCGACCCTGGGATTTTAATGGCTTGTTATTGTTGTTGTTGTTGTTATTGCTGTTGCTTAGGTATTTAATATATTTAATTAAAATATGAACAATAAATAAAATCAAATTTTCATTTTTTTATTTGAAATTTATTTATTAAAATAATTTTATTTAATATAATTTAATCATAATTTATAGTATATTATATATTAATTTTATAAAATTATTTTTTAATTATTGTTTGAACAAATTTATTCCAACAAATATGGGAATGAGAAAATCTTGCATTAGCTATGGAATGATTACGTGGAGATGGGTTTTGTCAGTCCCACTGGAATGGTCATTCATTTAAAAAAATGTATACCAATCATGGGATAAAGAATAAGTAAATGAATGGTCATTCTGTTACCATGTCATTCTCTCATTTCAATCACGCTATAATAGTTATAATCAATGGTAACATACTTAATCAATCTACAAAATAATTTCAGCAGTTGTTTCAGTTACAAAATTAAGTTAAACCGTAGCACCGTTACTAATTTAAGATATAAATTGCTATTATTAATAAGCTGACCTAAATCAGTTTGGATTTTATTTTTTTATTTTTAAATTTTGTAAGGTTACTCTTTAAAATGTCATACAAATTTATTATAATTATAATTCAATATCAATGGGTCATAATCAACCAATATTGGTCATAATCAACCAATATTGCAAAAATTACATGCAATCAATATAAAACATTATATGTAAGTTAAATAATTTATATCTTATATCATTTATGTTTACCAATAATAAAAAATCAAGAAAAAGTGATAGGTTTATTATTGAACTTATGGTTTTAATGACTACATACACACATATAACCTCGAAAGCCCTGTAATTCGCCAATAATAATAATAATGATAATAATAATGAAAGTGTGGCATAATAAGGAATCTTACACCAACATTAATAAGTGATTATTCCTGTCATGTGTGACAATGCCCCCCGCCAAAGTTACTGCATGCCAATTAATAAGTGATTATTCCGTCGAGATTTGTAACTATTATATCAACTATTTACAATGGTTACAAATTTCGACGAAATTGTTCCGTAACGGGACGGTAACATTTTTCTTAAAAAATTTGTTCCTTTTGTAGGAAATTATAGTTGCAATCCAAATTATCCAATTAAATGGACTCGTACAAATTACTCAAGTATTAACGTCCGTAACAACTTCTGTACTACTTAACAGAACCCACATAATCATTTCAATGCATGATATGATAAAAAAGTTTTCCCAAAATTCTAGAGCTTTATGCTGGAGATTTCTTAATCATTTTAGGTCGGGATAATGCGCAACATACTCCGTGTCAGATAACATGCATCTTTTTTTATTAATAATTTATTTATTAATAAATTAAACTACACCAGTGGCGAATCTAGATGCATTAGTAGGGGTCAACTGATCCCTATAGATTTCAAAATTTTTAGTATAAAATACTGTTCAAACACTGTTTACTAGGTTAATGACCCCACTAAAAAATATTGCTGACCCCGGTGAATGATAAGGCTGACTCCGCCCCTGAACTACACTATGAAAAACAAAAGCCTCATGAGTCATAAATCATGACATCTCCATCTAAGTTTAAAGCAATACTTTCTATTTTATTTTACGAGTAATTTACAATTTTAGTCATCTATATTTTACTACCTTAATTTTTTCGTCTGCTTTGAATTCATTTTTGTTTCTCGTCCTCGATGTTTGCAAAAAAGTTACAAAAAAAAGGTTTCCCGTACATACATAAGTGACGAAATTGCAATAGTTTTTGCAAAACGTAGTGGACCTTTTTGTTGCGAAAATGATTTTTTTGCAATCATTCTGCAAACATAAAGGACGAAAAAAAAAAAAAATTGAAGAGAACGAAAAAGTTAGAATAGTGAAACATACCGGACTAAAATTGCAATATACTCTTATTTGATTACTAATTACTTATTCCTGCTATTAAGGAAATACCGGAAAAAAAAAATCGGTTACCAACTTGATTTTATACTCTGCTAAGCTCAAGAAAAAGATTGTTTTATACATCCAAATTAGCTCGACTCAAATACCATCGATCGAACTCGAAAAGGGTAAAAGCCAAGATAATGCAAAAGCTTTCACTTGCAAATACTATTCTTCGTATTGTTTTTTTGTCTCACACAACAATACGAAGACGACATTGCATAAAAGGCTTGTTACTTACAACCTTGGACAAACTAACAACAAATAGTGAGTGTGTAGCAAAATATGACTAAAGCAGAACTCTATGCCCACCGGGCGAGATAAACCAAAAATTGTCAAAATGTCTAGAAGAAATTGGGAAAATTTTAGTTTTCTAACCTGAACGCATAAATTTTCACCTGAAATACAGTTTCAACTGCTCCCCCATTTTCCCACCACTCGTTCTTTAGCCGAAACACGTACTGGTTCAGCCACCTCCTGCTGTGGCCCACGAAAAGTATCCCCATATAACCGGCTCTTAACCTTCGACATCAAAAGTGTAAGCCCAGTTCGTGTCACTCGTAAGGTGACCAACAATGGATTGAGAATGACGGCAAGCATCATGTCGCCCTTTGCAAATACCAAAAACTACACACAAGACACGGGCCATATATACAAGAAGAAATAGTTATTTATGAAGACTTGAACAAGTTTTTTCACATCGCTGGATTATTAAGTCAACCTTTTCACTCCAAAAAGTGCGAAGACATCATGCAACAATTTTGCGAAAGTTAAATGCGACGGCATTCGCATAACCTTGCGCACTTTCTAACGTGAATATGCGACAATTATGCGATTGATATGGGACAGATATGCGATTGATATGCAACAATTATGCAAACCATTCGTATAACCTTTGCATTTTCTTGGGTGAAAAAGTTGAATTGTTAGCGGGCGGAGTGAAAAACTTCATATATCTTTTCAAGTCAGGTGTAAAAGAAAATGTCCCACATAGAACAAGCAAGAATAGCTAGAAAAGATGGTTGGTGGTTAAGAGATGCTTACCACGAAAATAATGCCTAAAATAGTAAGACCTGCTTGTTGTGCTTCCTGCCAAAAACGGTCACCATCCCACCCACCACCAGACGAACCGCCCCATCCAAATCAACCGCCCCCACCAGAATCTCCACCTCCGCTTGCTTCCTCCCTCTTCTTGATTTCTTTGTCCCATTTCTCAAATTCCGTTTTCTTGCCATCGAGTGCACTCTCCAAGGCTTTTAGAGCCTCTTCCTGCAAATTTTACAAACATGTGGTCCATACTAGTAAATATAACAGGAGCACGATAGGTGAAAACTGAACTGAGCTGTGATTTCTTTTATCTTACTGTAGTTGGCACATGTTATTCCTTTGTCTAGATGTAAAATACTTTTAACAAATCTTAAAGCTTTTATTTTTTATTTTTTCGCATAGAGGACACTTTTTCAATATTGGGTTCTTCTTATGGATATTCAACCCTATAATAAAATGCTGGTTTTGCGAAATTTATTTCATTCATATCATCATTCAAGAAGAAAAAACTCCCTCGGAGAACAAATAAATAAATAGAAATAAAATTTTATCTCACTAGGTTTTTTGTTACTAACTGAAATTCCAAAACAGGTAGGGAATATGAATTAAGTAGTCAATGCAAGTAGCATTCTAAGGACATAAAGAAAACAAGAAGATGAATGCTCTAACTAAAGATTAATTCCTTAATCCTTTCTAACATCTCAAAAGGACATCTTTGTTCATATTAACTACTCATACTCAAGGATGAAGTATTAACTAACAAAAGACTTATTAAGAATTTATGCACAGCAATATTGATAAACTAATATCTTAAGGACCTTCATTTATTTATCAACAAATGCTAAGAAGCTCAGAGCCTCTAGTCTCAGTTACAAGGATATCGGTGGACCAACTTGCAACTATTTTCGATATTTCAGGACTCAATACCTCTAATATTTGTTATGAATATCAATATCGAGCTACCGTTACTGGAACTTCCAAAATAAATATTATGAAGCTATCACAGGCCCACATCCACACACAGAAAAAAAAAAAAGAAAAAACAATTTGCTCAAATGAATAACAAAAGTACAACAACAGTATGCGGTAAAACTCATAATCATATTAAATATAAGTGCTTTAAGCAGATTATAAACCAGTGTCGCTGGACTGTAAAATAAATTTCATGTGAGATAAAAATATAATTCTTTACAGTTAGAGCTGTTACTTGAACCGAGATGATCACGAACACAGCCTTGGTTCAACTCGTGAAAGCTCGAGCTTGACTCATTCTTTTATTTAAACAAGGGGATCCGAGCTTGTTTGTTAGAAACTCGTTTCAACTAAGCCGCTTATTCACGTACAACTTGTTTAGGTTTTGTGTATATCAAACGAGCCGAGCCTCTCGTATAATAAATAAGCACAAGAACGAACATGAGGTACTAGGCTCAGCTCCCCTTAAACAACACTTCTATAAAGAATTACACAGGGGTTGAAGGAAGTGGCCTCCTTGAGTTTATTATTGCTGTAACAACTTGAAATTACGTCCAGATAAAGCTCATGTATGAGGTTACTAACTAAATTTGATAATTCTGGATTCATAAGGCATGAATTTATCAATTACTGTGGACTATGCAAGAAGTTTGAAAGTCTACATAACAATCTCACAACTACAGCCAGTAAAATGATACATATATACATATGTATATTCTAAGAAAGTCTACATAACCATCTCACAAATCCAGCCAGTAAAATGGTAGATAAATACATATGTATATTCTAAATCACAAACATTTTCGCCGATATGTGACTGAAGCTATAATTGGAATTACGATAAACTCTCACGCAACTCGGAGGTTCACAGAAGAAAGCTGTTCATTACCACCAAATGAAACTCCTCACCAGAGTACCATACAAATTAAGAACATGAAAAACCACGTTATATAAGACGTGACCTAAAAGTTCAGCACAATCACATAATCCTTATGCACCATCTTCATCCACAAGCACTATTAAGATTTCATTCATCCATAAATGATAAAAAAAATCCGGATATATATCTCACCTAATTTTCAATCCACACACACACACACACACACACACACACACACAAACAACAAATTTGGGGGAAATAGGAAACCTCAAAGACAATGGAGTTAAAGCGAACCAAAAAAAAGGGGTTTGTTCAAAATGGAAAGGAGAAAGGTGGCCAAGAACCTGTTTCCGATTGTTGGAGAATAGACAAGTAAACCTGCCGTTGCACTTGACGGAACGCAAAACCGAAGTCCAGGTCTGAGTCGCGCTCGCCGTCACGGCCAGCTTCGGCGGGACTGAGGTTTGCCGGTGGCGCTGGGCACGGATTGTGTAAGACGGTGGCGTTGGTGTTAGAGTTAGAATCTGCGCCATGGCTCCGAAGTCCAAGACTCCAAGTCCAACCTCCAAAGTCCTGAGATGAGCTGAGATGAAAGGGCGGGGATCTGAAAACCGACCCGCCGGATAATAACGGGCTTTAAACCTGATAATTGACGTGTGTATCTTGTGTCAGCCGCTAGGTTGGGCTTGGATATTGGGCCATATAAGTCATTTTCGAAAATCAGACCCATAACTTTGATTGGCCCTTAGTTAGGTCAGTGTTGAACACAAACCCAAAAACCAAAAATCCCAGTCCCAAAAACTACGGCTAAACTCGAACTGCCTAGACAGATCTGGCGAGGAGGCCATTCTCGGTCCATATTTGGGTTCCAAAGAATTTTAACACCAGGAGGAAGTTACCACGAAAGGCAACTCCGGCAGAACGAATTGCCGCCGCTGTAAGGAGGTCGTGGAAAGGCGCACCACCACCAGGAGCTTCTTGCCGGAGAAGACGAACAAGTGGCCATGAGGAGCTCCCAGTAGGCGCCGAACCGCACGCCGGAAGGAATAGAAGGAATTAATATTCGAAGTGGTAATTTAAGTGTCAGCTTCCCACATTATAAATGTTCCAATTTGATGTCGAACCTTTGAAAATATTCCTTTTTTTTTATATCCCAACTGTTAAATGAACGTTAAACTAACCGTTACATAGGTGAAAAACTTTTGATGCATGCACTGTCTTTAAAGATTCTTGAACCGCTCCCACTTATGCAGTGACTCATTAGGCAACTGAACAAACGCCACCTACTGGGATCAGAGCTCTTGCGTCTTCTGATGTGAGTAATATCTCCCGATAAATCTGGAATAGACTTGCTCCTATATCATGAGAGAATCGGGAGCCAGAGTCATGAACCATGCCTTAACTTGATCTTTGAGTGTTTTTGGGAAACATCTCGTCTTTAGTTGGTCAACATTCAACCAGTGAAGAGTAAATGTTTGAAGCACATTGTCAAATTCACAAATGAAATAGAGCGGGTCCTCATTCAGAAGACCATAAAAGTGGAGAAGTTGGTTCTAGTGGACCATCTTGAGCTCATAAATTTAATATAATAATATAGGGTGTGTTTGTATATGAAAAAACTCAATCAAATTTCAATTTATATTTAAAATCTAACCCAACTTTAATTCAACTCTACTATACTAAATATTATCATTATAATTAAATAACATCAGTCAATCATTCTTACACATCATATCAATTTTATTTTACTATTAATCGTCCTATGTAATTTGTAAGTAACCATCATTTCACCACAATCGTTCTACTACTTTTACATAAAATCAACTTTAATTATTTTATTTTAAATATTATTTTAATATAAAATCAAAATCACACTAACAACCAATCATACTACTTTTTTCAAATTTAATTCTGATTAACGAAAACAACTCTTTTTGAGTGAATTTATTTGTATACAAACACGCTCATAGTGTATAATTTTCTTTGTCATTTTATTTGCAATGAATCATTATCATATATAGAATATGAAAACAAAGATTGTAAAGAACTTGATGAAAGCAACCAACCAACATTTCCTTCCTAGATTTATCAGTTGTTGACCAAACCTCAGCGCAACACCACCAAGAACACATTTGCCCCATCCATAATTCGTTAAATCCCCAAAATATCCTTGGAAAATAATACCACCACTCGACGCCAAAGCATGGGCACGACAGTCATTTCACACGAAACTCGAAATCAAGCGCTAAATCCCTGATTCAGAACACTAATCTAAGTTTAAAAATGTAGTAATAAATTGTAAAGGACGATAGAATCCCACTCACCAATCCGATTTCCAATTTTACCCTCCATAGATGCCCTACAGCTAGCGCTGCAAACGAGTCGAGTCGAATCGATTATTGACCTTATCGAGTATGATTGAATTTTTTTTTCAGCTGCTCGAGCTCGAGCTCGTCGAGCTCGATTTATGAGACTCGAGCTTGAGCTCGATAAAAAAATACAAGAGCTCTCGACTCGAATTCAAAATGCTCGAGCTCGGCTCGAGTTCCGTTCGAATTTTTTGAACTATTTTTTAAAATAACCATTAAATACATATATATACAAGGATATTTTAGTAATTTCATATATCTCAAGCCGATCACAAGCCGCTCGACTATGTAAAATATGGGCTCGAGCTCGACTCGAGTTCGTGCTCGACTCGAGTTTCGTCAAACTCGAGCTCGAACCGAGCTTTGACTCGAGCGCTCGTGAGTGGCTCGCAAGCTGCTCGACTCGTTTACAGACAAATCATTCAAACCCTATCGAGGCTAAAATGGTCATTTCTGTACATTTTCGTGGCTACATATTCTTCTGAAAGAGAGATGATAAAAGGGGTTTGCTCAGACGAGAGAGAAAGGGGAAAAAGAAGAAGACGGCAAAGAGAGAGAAAGGAGCCGTTCGAGTGGTCCGTTCGCGTGTGAAGAAGGAATTTATATGACAGTAGCCGGAGCATAAGAACCATGGTGTCGGACCAAGAGATAGCCAACGGCGTGGAGACGGTGATCAATCAGTCGGACCCGAACGTCGCCACCTCGCTAAACGGCGTCGTTCAGCAGCTGGAGGCCAGGCTAGGGGTCGACCTCTCGCACAAGGCGGAATTCATCAGGGACCACATCACCTTCTTCCTCCGCGCGAATCCCGTCTCCAAAGCCCAGCTGCCCCCTCGGTCTCCGTCCCAGTTTTACCCTAACGCGCTCTTCCCCCAGCAATTTCACCAGCCTAATTTTTCCCTCCACCAACAGCAGCAGCAGCAGCTGGCGCTGCCGCCGCCGCCGCCGTGCGCCAGCCAGCAGGCGAGCCCTGCCTATGCGCTGCCGACCACGCAAATCCAATGGCCGCAGCCGTACCCAGCGCAGCCGTTGAAGGAGGAGAACGCGGTAGGGAATGCTTCGGATACCCCTAAAGGAAGGTGAGCGCGCGCTCGTTCGCGTGTGTATGTGCGCAACGTTTTACGGAGTCGGAAGTCCTTAGGGTTTTCTTCAGATTACAATTTAGCTCGTATGAATAAACTTAAGTCTTTTAACATTGACAGTTAGCAGGAATTGGTGATTGTTTCCTTTTGATTTTTTTATTAGATTAAACTCTGCGGACACATGATTGGATTTTAGCTGATTTCGGTTAGTGGTTAGGTATGAAATTAGGGTTCTTGGTTGGTTTCGATGACGTATCTATCCGTGATGGGTAAAGTTTATTTTTTTCTTTCTGTTTTTTTTTTAAATGTATTTTTTTCTCTGTTTTGTTTGAACTTATTAGCGGATAGTGGTTTGTAAATGTTTCTTACAGTGTCTTGGTGTTCATACTCTTGATAGTTGACTTGTCTCTGTAGCTTAGAGTTGAGAGTTATAGATGAAAGTCTTTCATTGTTTAGTTTACAATAGGTTATTGCATCTTAGGCTTTCCCATGTCTCGGGAAATATTGATCCTGGAAGAAAGTCGGGATTCATCACATAAGAAATTACTTGTAATTTTCAAATAGTACTGCTTTTACTCCTGCATAAGTACACAGTTTTCTTGTCTCATCTATTCACCATGATAATATTTGGCGTCCACTCAACATGCAAACTATGCTCTTTTGAATGGGCGAACATTTATTCCGAGTTAATTTCAGTTGCGATAAAAAAACTTTGAGCGAACATTTAATTATGTTCTGGAGTTAATTTCAGTTTCGTCAAAAGTTGCGTTCTTTATGAGAAGATAAAGTCCATTCATTCCGAGTTGCATGACACACATGAACGGCAATTGATTTTACTGGTTACTGTATATTTTTTTTTTTCTGCAGGGCCCCAGCTGGAACCAAAAGAAGAGGCGGTTCAGGAGGCCTGAACAAAGTATGTGGCGTTTCACCTAAGTTACAAGCCATTGTTGGGGAGCCAGCATTACCAAGGACGGAGGTTTGACCTAACTGATTTGAAGATCATGATTATTTTTGTTTATTTGTCCATTTTATATTGAAATGCTTAAGTGCAATTCATTTGGTTTGAGTCTAGATAGTGAGGCAGCTGTGGGCATACATTAGGAAACATAACCTTCAGGATCCAGCGAACAAGAGAAATATTATCTGTGATGATGCTTTGAGATTGGTATTTGAAACAGACATCACTGACATGTTCAAGATGAATAAGTTGCTGGCAAAGCACATCTTGCCACTTGATGCAGCAAGTACGAAAGATGCGAATGAGAGTGCATTTAAAGATTTACTTGGAAAATATTTGTTTCTAACAGTACGGATTAAAACTTGCAGAACAACCGGATCAATCTAAGAAATTGAAGGTTGAAGATGATCCCGACAAGCAAGACCCTAATTCTGGTGATATTCCTGTGACAGTGTCAGATGCACTTGCGAAATTCTTTGGACCAGGAGAAAGAGAGATGCTTCAGTCAGATGCTTTGGGCCGTGTCTGGGAGTACATAAAGGTTAACCAGCTGGAGGTTAGTGATCTAAAGGAATTAAGATGTGATTGATATTGTATTAATGCTACGCCCATTCATGTTTGTTTTGTATCTCATTTACAATATGGTAACAGAATTTATTGACAGATATGTATTTATTTGTTTTTGGAATATGTGCGGTGTGAAAATTAAGTGTTTTTTATTCACGGTACTTTTTTGTTAGTTTGAAGGTTTTTCTATGTATGTGTTGAAGCAAAATTGATTCATCCACTCGATCTATATATTACTGAATTCATTACTTTTATGTTGACTTTTTTTTTTTTTCAAATGAATTTATGTTTGTAGGATCCACTGAATTCTATGGTCATCCATTGTGATGCCAAGCTTCAGGAACTATTGGGATGTGATAATAGCATATCTGTACTGGGCATACAGGAGATGCTTATCCGCAGTCATTTACTGAAGAAATCATGAATTCTGTTTATGTGAATGGTACGTGATAAATTGCATTGTATGTGCCAGTTGCTGATGAGATGTGCTCACTACTTCATTTCTCAGTGGTTTTATTTTAGCCTGGTAATCTTCGTATGTATCTTTTCTTGCTAAGTCAGATTACATTTCCCTGCTCTTTCTTCTTTGCCTTCTTTTTATTTATTTTTGGCTACTTCATGTATTATTTCCCTTCTGTAGCTAGCTAGTTATTGTTTATTTGTCTATTATGGCCTTTTTGCATGCTGCTTTGACCTAACTCTCCCCACAATTGAAACTGCATCTATGTCTCAATGGTTTATGGTCATGTTACTCTGCTTGATTATATATTAGGTGCCGTTCCTTTTCTGGCTTGTTTCATTTAATAAGAATTTACCCTGAGCAATCGGATCTTGTCTCTTTTAAAAGGCACTATCTTGATCTGACAGTTAAATTGGCTTTTTCATGGAGATAAATATGATCTACCTTTTTCCTAATGGTGGTAATTCTTATATATAATAAAATAAATGGTGACTACGGTAGATAGTCAATGACTGCCATGATGGGTGCTAGGGATTCTAATTCACTATGATTTCTTTGTGGAAATATGGCTTCACACACGATTGTAATTTCATGGAAGATGTGCATTATTAATTGGTTTAGACTTTGGATTGTGATTTTTGACACAGTCGTTAGTCAAAAAGCAAAGATATTACATAATTGCCAGTGGCGTCATTTAGAAACTGTGTTGATATGATGATTGTTTGAGGAATAAGCAACTTCAATATTGTGGGCCTAATGTAGTGTTAAACCGTTTAAATTCTTGCTGAAGCTCTAAAGTGAGCCATTTTAGACTGAATTTATTAAAGTCTTCATTTGACGTCATTGAATTTGTCAAAAGGATCTTGATTTTGTTCTTGAATTTTTTGCATTCTTACCGAAACGATGATGAACATTCGTGTTCAATTTTTGCAGGTACTGTAGCTGGGTAGTTGCTTATGATGACTTGACCGATCCCACAATAAAGACGTAATTTCTCGTTTCTTTTGATTGTTGTCTCATGGTTTTAGGTGTGTAAACTATGATTGTTATGACTTAGTGCCCTTTGGCTGTGGGCTAGACGTGTTCTGTAATTATGGGATTGCATTTTACGCGGTTTAGGTTTCTCTTTTGTCTATTTTCGCCTGTTTATCTCGTCCAACTGATGTCACTGTAATGGGTAGGAAAAAAATGTTGTTGTGATAATTTGTCTTTTGACACCTTACCATTGTTGTATATATATGTCATCATTTTCTTACATGGCAGTACTTTTTAGTGATCCAGAGTTCTGATAATGCTGTAATTATTCTTAGCTCCTCAAAGACCCATTTTTGGGGGTTGAAATAGTAAATACTCCATGGATTTGTCCAAGTAGAAGAAAGCAAAAGAAAAGAAAAAAAAAATTGAAGAGAAAAGAAAAGCCTATCAATCCCTTTTCGTAGATTAAGGATAAAGAGAAGACGAAGAAGATGTCCAGCATGTCTGCGACAAAACGGACTGAAACTTCTATGACTTCGCTTCGCTTCTAAAGTGCCTTTCGCGTCGAGCATCTTCAAACCTAGACGAACGGGTCTTTCATCGATATTTTCATTGTAAGATTTTGTCAAATTAATTCATTATTTGGAAATGCAAAATTGAAGTGGTGAAATCATATCCTAAAAAAATAAATTAACTATGTAGTAAAAATAAAACTGCAACAGCCAACAGAAGTAAGAGGAAAAAAGCAATGGTTCTTCTTGTCTTGTTCTTAAACAGAGCCTTGGGATTGAGCTTTTCCATGGCCTTCATCACCATGGAGAGTACTTTCTGTCCAGAGATAGAATGTAACACTTTCATTGTGTCTTTATTAAATTTAAAAAAAATTATATATATATATATATACATATATATATATTAGTACTAAGCTAATCAAACTTTGTAATCTCACCAGCCTAAGGGGCTCCATATGAAAGATTGGCTCCAAGAACATCTCCACATTCCTAATTCAAGAGTTAGTGTTAACGTTACTAGCGCCAAAAATTTACCGGTTAAGATCTTCCTACTCCAGTTCGACTACTTTTTTCGTACAACTTCAGAGTTACGAGACTACTTTTAAAAATTTTCCCGTTATACCCTCAAGAAATGTCGGTTCGTATTTCATGGAGGCTTACTTGATCATCACCTTTCCCTGGTAAACATGGCACATGTGCAAGCTGAAACCTCTTCCCAGAGGCCAAGGAACTTTTTTCCATTCTTTACAAACATGCAAAAACCCAATCCAAGACAACATAAAAGTTAAGAAAATATGTAACTTGTGCTAATAGAATGCCCAAAAAATGAGATATATGTATAAATAAACATAAATCAATGATAAAAATTAAACCTAGTTTCCATGATACACTAACAACCATGCCATCATCAATGGTTTGTTGCACAACAAACTCAATGTTATTCCCCAAGCTTTTCATCAGCCAGGCAAAGAAAGCCAACACTTTCTGCAATTTAAACCATCCAATATCATATATTACCAACAAATTACATAATTCACTGCAATAGGCACTAATAACATGTTAAAAAAAGGACCTTTTGGTTGACAAAATCCATATTATTGCTACAGAACATACCTTCTTACCAAGAAAAGGTCTGAATGCAGAAACGAAATTCGAAACGCACGAACATTCTTCGGCTATTATTAGTGCTGTTAAATTAAACGAGCCTGGCTCGGCTCGGCTCGAGCTCGGCTCGTTAAGGCTCGGTTCGGCTCGAGATCGAAGCCTTAACGAGCCGAGCTCGAGCTCATTTAA